GAAATGGAGGAAGGAGCTAATTTACGGACCCAGAATAAAGAGACGAAATATATAGAAAATGTGAAGGACAGTAAGATAGACGTGCAGGCCATATTAACCTATATGAAAAAATGTGAGGACAGAATGATGAAAACGGAAAGTAAATTTGACGACATAATGACGAGAGTGGAAAGTAAATTTGATGACATAATGGTGAGAGTGGAAAATAACATGAAGGTGTAAGTGAAATGTGGGCTGCATTGGCAAGGGACTCGGAAAGTAAAATGAACCAACAGACAGAGTCCGTGAATAACGAAGTTAAAGTCGTATCTGAGTGCACTCACGGCCAGATTCAAACTTTGACCGATACGGTGCAAGGGGATAAATCCGAAAATTTTGAGACCCAAATAACACGTCGGTTAAATTCAAGTCATGACGAAGAAAACGTGAAAGAGCCGGGCACTCTTGCGATCCAAGCGCACACAACTAGTGACCAAGGAATTGTTGTCAGCCAAGAAGAGCGCACATTAAGCAGTGACAAGAGTACATACCAGTCAGAAATGAAGTTACCCGATACCGACGAGATGAATTATGCAGGAAGTGAACTTCACGGATGCGATGTGATTTCTCCAATATCGAGATCCTAAGTGATTTGCGGAAACTTGGCTGAAGTTCCGAAAATGGGTATCGAAACAGGAAACGTAACAGAAGAGTGTGGGAATCATTCGTGGGTAGCACAACTTCAGCTGCAGTTCGGGGCGGAAGAAGGCGAACAGCGACACTCTACTGAATATCACGGCACAGCAACTCCACTTAATCTCTCGGAGCGTCAGAGCAGGACGTGGGTTCGAAACTGGAAGAAGACTCTCAAGGATAAAGGAACCACAGGTACTGTCAAATCAAAGGTGACTTCAATGTCATGCTGTGGTGATTTCATGTCACCTGCCACCTCCATGCATGGACTGTCAGTAAAACATGGACCTGGCAAATGCAGCCTGAGGGCAATCAGTGATAGATGTTGGTAGTGCTATGTGCTCGTAAGTGGATTTTAATTTGATTGTGTCATTTTGAAAATACTGGGATATAAATGTTGTGGACAGAAATATGGTCGTCGCTAAGTGTGAAAGTGAGACATTTTCAAGGTCAGTGTCAGTGCGTGTCAGACATTCCTGCATATCCACATATTTCATTTATTTATATTAAGGTTAAGAAAGTTAAACAATTTCACTATTGTTAACACTGCATTAATTTCTGTGTTACTTATTGTCAGTGGCAAGGTGTATCGATTGTGTAGCAATGAATTGTGTGATACTGGTTTCTGGTAATACTGACTGCATTATGTAAAATTTATAACTAGCTGTGCCCGGCCACGCCTTGCTGTGGCTCAGTCTGCCCGTTCTTCCCCAGTTTGACTTGAAATTACTCGACGCATTGCTTCCACCCCGCGAGTACGATGCCCTAAGCATGTTCTTAGAAAACGAAATGAAAAACAATGAAAAATAAACTATACTTACGAAATAACTTCCACGCACGTCTCGGATTCAGCGAATAAGTTATTGAAAACTCACTTTTACACCAGCAAGTACAATTATTATCACATCCAGTATCACCGAAAAATTCTTTGGAGCTGGACTATTATAACCCGGTTTCGGACGCAATAGAGGGCACTTTCGCCCAGGGTTCCATTTCACGTGTTCTGTGCTCGTTGCCGCAGAAATGCATTATTTCCACTGTTTCAACAGTTCGTTGCCACGGTTATTCCTAGGCAGCTGTAAGTCGGCGGACAGTTACAGGGCCTTCTATTGGTGAATACATGTAGTGTCTTTTTATATTTTTTAAATAAAGGCTCTAAAGTGATACTTTGTTATTTATTTTCATCAGCAATACTTACATCGTTACATTTCCCATTTGCATTTTAAGTCTTTTTGACTTTTAGGGCTACCTTTTGCTACACTAGTCCAGATCATCACTTAACCAGACAACCTCTCTGCCCAATTAATCTAGATTAGCAAGAGTTCATTGCATCTGTCTTCCTCTAGCATCCTCTGTGTACTTTCCAACTTCAGACAATACAGCAAGCTGCAGCTCTTGCCATGATACACACGTCCCTCTGTACTTCATATGCATGATGCACTATTCTTCCTCGGTGTGAAGTCAACACGGTGTACAGTGGTGCCACGGACAACTCTCAGCATCCGGAACAGCACTTTACACTGTCGTCTGCCCAGCGCCAGCCTCAAAGGGTACATAATGATACGTTAAAGTCTTGTCTACTTTGGTTCACAAACAGTATGTGATATGTGCAATATAAGTCATAACATGAAAATATTTCACATAAGTACAATACCCAATAGCTAAGGGGAACCTCCATTTCAAATTCCTGTTGGAAAAACCTAAAATCTTCAAACATTAAATGGGGCTTCCACTACAGTCACTCAAAAAAATCTCCCATCCTCTATAGAACATGCTGGTTCATTAGTGTGTTCACAGAAACCTGCTACTGGTCCCTGTCAGTGAATCTAGCTGACACACTATGACCTTATTTCTTCAAGACTTATCCCAGGAGTATCTTACCATCTACACCCAGGTCTCCCAGGTAGTGTCTTCCTTTCAGGTCTTGTGACCTAACTAATGTCCACACTTCTCAGCAAACCCACACATGCTACATGCCCAGCTCATCCCATCCTCCTTGAGTCAGTAACCCTGCTAAAACGATACTGTTAACGGTACAAATTATTGAAGTCCTCATTCTGCAGTTCAGTGCATTACCCACTGAATCTCAACACTAAACTCGGCGTTTTCAATTTTGTGTTTCTCAACAGTCACAATCAGAACCAACGCCGCACGCACCTTCTCTGTAGGAACTCTTCACAGCTGCAGTGCGACACGACTCGAAGGGATGCTCCTGGATGCCCCACTCTCAGCTGAGCTGATGAGCTGCTTTACATTGATATGGACAGTAACGTGGGACTATCTTCAGTCTTGTGGTACATTTAGAACATGACGCCTCAACACCTGGGCTGGAAATTTCTTCGCCCAAGTCTCGCCAGCACCTCAAACAAACAGTACAATCTGCCTACTAGTGTATGTATTGATAGCAGCACAAAGCAACACAACTCTCACAATGTGCTGAACAGTAAGTATGCAAACACTTTAAGTTTCAACTTCCCAAACAGCATACTTGACGATTAGTTGCCAACATTCCATGCACGTCTAGTGGAGGCAACTGGGGATCTCCCCGGGCGATCCTTCCCTGATGTGAAGTCAAGCATGTCCATGAGAGGGGCGTGAGGTAGGGCCTTCATGGATGCAGTAACCTGGGTCCCCCATCCTCCATCATTCAGAACAGCAACTTCTTCATTGTTTTGTTGTTGTATTTTATTGATTTGATATTTTAAATTATAGTTTATTTGTACCTTGGGGGTTTGTTTATTTGCTTTTGTAAGCTGACTTTAATTGTTTTACCTTGTGTCTCAGGGTTTATTAATTTTTATTATTTATTTTTATTCCCAGATTTCGGGGCAGTTAGGTACACGTTTTAGTTACTGTTTCATTAGTATTGATAATATTTATTTGGTAGTGATATGTTAATCGTTTCCGGAGGTATCTGGTTCCTCGAGAAGTGTTCACGTGGGCTATGTACACGGCACTCCCTCCACTGGGAACCCAACATGGAGTACAATATACATCAGTGTGCAAACTGAGATGGTCTTTCACTTAGAATGGTATAGGAAAACACTAATAGCTCAGTCTACAGGCCGGACAGCTGAAGACTCAATTCCTGGCAGATGTAAGTGATCTTCCTCTACCTCAGAGCATACAGGCCAGCTCTGGTGCTCTACTGAGACGGTGACTATAAGGCATATAGTCTTCTGGCTTGTAATGTTATGTGGTATGGAGAAAGTCTCAACTTTCAGAGGGACACAGGTAAAAAAGATAAAACCTAGCTATGTAACAGGCTGTGTAGGCCCACAGCGTTTTGAGATGTCCAGGCTCCCACATTTTCTAAAACAGCTAGATCACAGATGGCGGTGAGGTCAGCCTTACGTGCCAGCTGCCCTTTACCCCCAGGAAGATTCCTGGTACTCATTTCTGTTAGAGGCTGAGTTGACACCAGGGCCATAGTGTGGCTGGAAGGATTAGGTCAACTGAAAAATCCAATGACCTTATTGCGATTTGAACCTGTGACCTTCTGGCTTGTAGCATAGTGCCTCAACCAACAACGCTACCGCATGCCCCTTCAGAGTGACATATGACCACAATTTTCAGGTCTGTAGAAAAAGCTAAGCACAAAATTTGTTGTCTGCTTCTGCTGGTTTCTTGCTTAGCTGACTCTTCAACGTAATATCTTCGTCTGAAATACTAGGACCTTCTAACCCTCACAGGGACAGGATTCTACTATTCCTACACAAATAGCTTCTGGCATAACAAATACCTGTATTATGAAGCATTTTTCCTGCAGTCATGGCAGAAACTTTGAGATTGTCCATCTTCGGCCTGAAGTTCATGAACTCCTTGAAGGTGAGGGTGACACTACTTCCGTTCTCACTGCTCCACAATAAAAGAACAGTGGGCACCAACCAGTGAATACCAACGTCTCTTAGGAACTGTTAACAAAGAAAGAGACCAGAAGATTTAAATTAGAAGCCTAATAGTGCTAGTGGGCTTTCAGCTGAGGTGGAAACATGCTGCTTGCAAGTGCAGGGTGACAAGTTTCCTCGGTCCCAACACAAACTTATCACATTCTATAAAAACTGTTAGAACACTGCCCCTTCTGTCTTTAAGCATGACTCCAGGCTCGTAGCAAATTCTTCAATTCTCAAGTGAATAGTTTCTTCATGTCCGTGCATAAAGTACGCCCAACACCAATATTTTTACACTGTGTAATGGCAATTGCACATTCTGCAGTAACCAGCTGCAAAACCTGAATGGTTCCTGCATAACCTTAAGTTCAAGCAAATTTTTAATCAGTCTTGTGGCTGTGCGTGCAGATTCCAGTGCAAATTGCACCTTGTGTACTGTTCTGTATACATCCTTGCATATCTTAAATCTCTTCTTTAGTCTGCACATTGTGCTAAGTTTGTCTCGCACGACAAAATTACGTATCCCGCTGTCGGCCAACACTGCATTGTTACTTCCTTCTTACCTGCAAGATCTTATGTCGATATATTTTTCGACCACACTGCTCAAACAGATTTTATCGCTTTTTAATTTTTAAATCGTTACAAGCTGTAAAATAAGCTCCCATACTCTTACACATTATAACCTCACAAACAAAATGACTACCTTAAGGTTCAAGATCTTCAAGATTTTCAAGATTTCAAGATTCTCTGATTGGCTCACACTTAGCGATTCGATTAATTGCGATAGGTGTATAATGATCGAATAGCGCCGAATGAATGCAGCTGTATTGACCTTGTGTTCAAGAAAGGAAACGAGATAGAAATAGAACAACAAAAAATAAAAACATCATCAACTTCACCACAAAGGAAACACCTACCGATAAGCACAAGATTCAAATATGGGGGCAAAAAAACAGCAAACGAAAACAGAAACAAGCACCGTGAAATAAACAAGAAGAATCCAAAAATACATATTGGGAAAACAAGAGGACATCATGCAAATAATAGAACAAAACGAAATCGACGATGCCGCACGGAAGATGACTGAAATACTGCAGAATGCTGCCCTAACAGCCAAAGAGAGGAAGGCCAAAATATGGTTCGATGCAGAATGTTACAATATGAGAAAAGCAACAATAAAGGCACTACACAGGGCAAGACAAACTCAGAATAGCAACGAACTAAAAGAATATGCAGAAAAAAGAAAAAGATACAAAGCACTGATAAAAAGCAAGAAAACAGAAGGGAAAATGATGGCCAAAGAAGCTGAGAAAGACCCGTTCATGGCAACCAAAACAACGAAGAAACAAATGCCACAAGAAGTAAATATAAAGATATGGGAACAACATTTCACCAAGATACTTAGCCAAAATACACCCACCAGCGGCTCCCGAACGGACGACGTCAGGGCATGTCAACCAATCTCACATGCAGAAGTATTAAAAGCTATAAAAAGAACACAAAACAAGAAAGCCGCAGGACCAGATGGAATATATTATGAACATATAAAAGAAGCAAAGGACATTATATCAAAACCACTAACGGGACTATACAACAGATGCCTCGAAACTGGATCCATACCATAAATTTGGAGAAAATCCCTGATGAAAGTACTGTACAAGGGAAAAGGAGACCCAGAAGACCCGAACAACTACCGAGGGGTAGCGTTAGAAAACACAATGTTCAAGATACTGACCAAAATCCTAACTGACCGTTTAACAACAACAGTAGACTCACTTATCCCGGAAAATCAATTTGGGTTTCGGCCACAAAGATCAACGATACAAGCCATCACAGCACTACTAGAAGCAATTGAAGAAGCATTAAGACACCCACGAGGAAAATACCATGTAGTTTTCATAGATTATAGCAAGGCATTCGACCTACTCGACAGGAGTATAATCACAACAAAACTGAAGGAAATAGTAGGAGAAGAGAACACAACAACAAGACTAATAGGAGACATCCTCAAAAACAATAAAATCATAATAAAAGACACGGTGTCAGAATCCGAAGAAATAACCCAAACAAATGGCGTACTGCAAGGGGACCCCCTCAGCCCATTACTATTCAATATTACAACAGCAGACTTGGCCAAAACAATGGAAAAACACACAGGGGTACAATTAATTATGTACGCCGATGATATGACAATTGGAGGAAAAAATATTGAGGAGCTACAGGAAGCCTCCACTACACTGGAGAACTGGGCAAGACAAAACAAACTTCAAATAAATAAAAACAAAACCCAACTAATGACTTTCAGAAAAGGAGGAAGAAAAGGAAAAAATGATGAAATAAAATTTAATGGAGAACACATAAAATCAGTAAAACAATATAAATACCTCGGCTTAACACTGCAGTCTACATCTACAACATTCACAGCACACATAACAGAAAAATGCACAGCAGCCATCAAAGCTATATACACCATCCGAAACCTGCAACTATTATCGCTAGAAACAGCAATGAAAATATTCCATGCAAAAATTTGTCCCATACTACTATATGGCATAGAGATAACCTGGGAAAAACTATCCAAACAAAACCTGCGGAAAATAGAACAAGTGAAGGCAAGATACCTTAAACTAGCGCTAGAGCTTCCTAAGAACACACAATCCAGACTAACATACGAACTCTGCAAGGAAAATTTCCTACTAGAAGAACTCAGATATCAACTGCCAAGCACAAAAAACTCAGTGGAAGTTATCAAAGAAAGAAAACAAAAAAGAGAGGAAATATGGGAAGAGTTCTACAGCACTGATGCAATGACTGACAGAACGTGGACAGGACCCAACGAAAAATTACGACACACAATTACTAGCCCATGAACGGATGGGTGTATTGTGATTGGTGACGACGAGCGACGAGCGACAAGCGTAAACGCTATAAATAGATGGCAGTAGACGTTTGTTCACGTTCCTCTTTTTCCCTCCCGAGATGCAACTCCGAACTCCGTCCCCACTGTTCACAAATACACGCGATGCACGTGTTAATTGTGAAATTGAGTTTTAAAAGAGGAAACAGTGGTTGAACACTGTGGGAATTCCGGGTGCATAGCATCGCTCAATTATCCGTGCATAGCAGTTCATAATATTCGTTGGTGTGATCCTTGATTTGTATTTTTCATTTAACTAAATAGTCTGAGTAATGAGGTGTTGACACATCATCAAGTTTGTTACGTTGAGTGAAGGCAATTTACGCCGATTTGGTTTAATCGTGTATTGACTATGTGCGCAAATAGGTTAATATGCTGTTCTGGCTCATTAAAAGTAACCACTTCAGAGTGTTCCTGATAGTAACATGTGTAATAAATACAAGTCAGGGAGCTTTAAATATTTTCAAAAAGCCTCTAGATAGTTTGGACATTAAGTATGGCTCATTTTCTGAAGATCTCCGCCAACAGATGTTGGCAGAGGCGAAAAAAATGTTTTATTTCGGTTATGATAATTATATGACATACGCATTCCCAATGGACGAGCTAAATCCTTTGTTGTGTTGTGGTAGGGGCCCCGATTATGAGAATCCGTAAGTACCATTTAATTTCACAAGCCTTAAGAGAACTCCGTTATACACTCTTGGATAAACGGTATATGGCAATGTTTGTTCGCAAATGTGAGTGGATACATATTGAAACCGCCCATTAGTTTGATGTAATATCGGCCACATTTACAAAACTGTAGTATTACCTTGGTACGAAACTTCGTTTCTCACATTCAGTTGGGGGAAACTACATTATAAGTATGAATACACTTGGTTTTAGTGAAGGTTTGGTTTTATAGTTTAGATTGCATTAGGTTAATGTTTTAGTTTATGAATCTCTCTGTTCATTTCAGAACAAGATCATCTTAACTGCCATTTCGTTGTACTCTGAAGATGTTCTGTACTAGCTGTGGAGAAGAAAGGTTCTCCAGGAAGATAATCCTTGCATATTTATCACAGCCTTCCATGATTTGTCATTCTGCCCATTGACACATTTTCATTATTACATCAACAGTAGCAGAAACATTAAACACTAATTTGTTTTCACCTCATTACAAAATGTATTATGTTAAGAATAAAATTTCTTTTCCCCCTGTGATGAACTTTGTTTGACATGATAAAGCACTCTCGTCTGTATCAATCGTACCTTCTTTCATAAGAATGTAAATACAAAGTTATGACCAGCAGATGGGAAACCATATAGGTGGTTTTGCAGAAGGGAATTCTTCCCTAAAGGAGTGTAATGGGAATCCCCATCTACAGTTCCCATATTTTCTGATGTTAGTTCTTCTGGGCATGCTGTATGGTCCCCAACAAGGAAAATGTTGCTTTGTGAGAAAGTGCGACTATTCTCAGCCAGTTATGATCATAATCTTCAGCTGGTCCTCCTCCTCCACCACCACCACCACCACCACCAAGCATCATCAATATCACGAATTATCATCATCTGTATCTGTCAGCATACATATCAACATAGCATACTCAAGGTGTGGTTGTCTTTGTCAGCTTCGGTAATGTTTTGAACCGCTAGTAGCTGCATACAAAAGAATAATTTCATTATTTGTTTTATTGTACTTGATCACATTCATTAACTGTCTTGAATCTGAAATCAGAGCAATCTGTTATGGATACACTGTATTTTAAGGAAACAAAAGTGATATAATATGGATAAAATAATGACAAGTTGAGAAAGTTGTTCAGGGACTAAAGTGTAACAGCCAAATGCAGGAAACCTCTATAATAAGGAAAACCCATTTGACCAAAATCATTATACTGTCTGTACGAGACTTTGGGTGCGCCTATATGGTACATGAAGTGGGAACAAAGTTTTAGTAAATAAGCTTGTTTTGACTTAGTATTCTTGGGGATTGGTGACCTAGAAACTTCCATAGTATTACTTGGTGGGAACCATGACTTGCATTGTTATGTTATTTTCATTGCAGATCTAATGTCAATATAAATGACATACTTGGTGATTATTGTCTCACACTTGTTGATTCTCTGGATACCCTGGCAGTGCTTGGTAATGTGACAGAATTCCAGAATGCCGTTACTAATGTTATCCGAAATGTTAGTTTTGACAAGGATAACGTGGTTCAAGTGTTCGAAGTGAATATCAGGTAATATGATACTCTTACTTTATTCATCCGGTAGCCTGTATTTTTTATGTACATTGTGTCCAAGTTTTTTTTTTTTCATATAAATGCATTCTATTCCAAGTTGTATTTTTTTACTGTGCTGTGTATCTGAAGATATTTATTAATTTGTTTTAATCCCTTTGTGCTTGTGATTTCACAGGTAAACTTTTTGAAAAGGAGTGTTATATATTGTACAACTTTTGAAAATTGCTTGGTCCTGTCATACATATTTGTCATGTTGCCAGTACTATTTGCAGTCAACTTGAGTATTGCCTACCCTTGTATGTCATATTGACATGGGGGAATGCCCCTTAGGCATTCATATCACTCTTGGCTCCCTTGTGCACCTCCCAGTGTTGCCCAGGTCCTTTAAGAGCCTTCACCTTAGCTAGAACCAGAGCCCTATAGATTAAGGCCCCCTTAATACTTATTGCCTCTGCTCATACAGAGCCAGAGGTAAGAGATCCTTGCGTATCCAGGCTGCATACTGGCATAATGTCATCATCTCTTGGGCTGCTGGTAGCAGGATATCCCAGACACCCTCTGTTGTTCACCAACACAGATATCAGAGACCCCAGAACTTGGCCCAGCTGGACCCACAACTGAGCCCCAGCTGAAACTCGGGCCCCTTTTTGACTAGAAACTTCAGTTGATCAGACATATCTCCTTGATGGATAGGCTGGCAGTTCACCTTCATCAAGAGGCCTCATTCAGCCTTACCCTCGTGGACCCCTAATGGAAGTTGCTGAGAGCTGAGCCCTCTTCTCTTGGATTGCTGACTGTGACCCACCACCATTCACCAACAGGGGAGCTGATCACCCCCCTCCCACTGCTGGTCCCAGTGGGACCCATAACCAAACTCCAGCTAAGACCCAAGTTCCTTCCTCTGCTGGCCTGCATCTGCACTTGCATGTCCAATTCTTTTTTTATATAGAGAGATTATTCATTTCTCTCAAGAGAACTCTTAAAATTTTGCTCTCAGTAAATCGTCACTAGGGCCCCTGAGCGATTTGACTGCCTCTTTGCGACAGCAGAAGAGCAGGAGTCCCAGTGCATGAGCCCTTCAAAGCAGGGAGACAGAGCTACCCCAGAGCACTGGAGGTGGGGACCCTCCGGCCACCCTCTCTTGCAGCAGGAACAGCAAAGTTGCCACTTGATCTAACCAAAACTTGTGATTGAGCACCATCTGAAGCCCCAGATCCAAAGACTGGACTCCCTCCCAGCATGTCTCATCTTCTAGGTTGTCCTATTCTTCTTAACGGTCAGAGTACTCACTGTCGGTGAGAACCCTCTTTTAGTCTCACCTGCAGTGGACTCAACAGAGCCCTTCTTGGTTGCCTCTTCACAGCAGCAGAAGAGTAGAATGGAAGGAGGGAAGGAAGGACCCTACTTGGAGCACTGATGGCAGGGATGCTATAGCTACTCCTATTCAATGCTGCAGGGATAGCTGAGCCCCACCATTGGTCTCAGTTGTACCCATAACAAGCCCAATGAAGAGCTTGTGAACGTGACATATGCTAGAGCGAACATATCACAGTGTTGCTGGGGTAATGGCTTCACGCACTCACAGATAGTGGCCTGTGTGCTGCAGTTCTTTGCCACCAGCTATTGTACACGATGTAATGTGTAAGGCGATGGCGGGAAAACAAGATCACAGTGATAGGCTCATTGTAGTAGTACGCTGTACATATGGTTGTGGATGTAAAGTGGTTAGTTTTCTGGGCATGTGCTATAGGTTCAAGTTAACATACTGTAATGTGTTTACTGGACTGACAATTAATTGTATGTACAGACTGAAAGCCCTGGGGTCGACTCACCCTGTAAGAGAAATGAGTACCAGGAATATTCTTGGAATGTCCATGGGGGTAAAGGGCGGCTGGCATGTAGGGCTGACTACCTTGCCGCCATCTGTGAGTATATTGTCTAGAAAATGTGGGTACCTCAACATCTCACAACCCTATGGGCCTTCATGACTTCTTACAGGGATACCTTTATGTTTTTTACTTTTACAGACTGAAAAAAACTGCAGTAGTTTTCCTGCATGCATCAGGTGTGAGTCAATGCCTAATAGTGGCTGAGTGTCACCAGCAATATGCTACTAGTTTTGGCAGCTGTCTTGAAGTCTCTGCAGAAGTGACATCTAGCCCCCAACTCTCCATAAGGCAAACTGCACAGGAAGGTGATACTAATAGAAGTTCTGTCTGCCCCAAACCCCAGCAGCATGAATACTTCTCATATAAAGTACAACACTGTGCAGGAGTTGGGTTGCAGTGATACCTAAAATAAATAAAGGTAAAGCTGTCCATGTAACAGGCTGCGGAGGCCCATAGGGTTGTGAGAAATTGAGGTACCCACATTTTCTCCAGACAGTTGGCTCACAGGTGGCAGTAAGGCTGTCGGCCTTATGTGCTGGCTGCCCTTTACTCCTCAGGAAGATTCCTGGTACTCATTTCTCTTAGAGGTTGAGTTGACCCCGGGGTCATATTGCAGCTGGAAGCATTAAGTAAATTAAAGAAAAACACCTCATCGGGACGAACCTGCGACCTTCCGGCTTATAGCTTAGTGTCTCAAGTGATACCTGCAGATGTCTGGAATTTTATGAGTGGTTTTAGCAAATGTGATAACAGCAAAACTGACTGGAGGCAGATATTTCGTCGGTGGTAAGCATGCTTTCATCTCATTGGTACTTCTGACACACACAATGTTGAGTACTTGTTAGACAGGAGTCTTCACATAGCCCACCATCAAACTGAATCCCAAATAAAGTGTGGTACCACATCCATATCATGCTATTCTGGGACCTGTGTTTCAGGATAAAAGGTTAAGAGGAGGCTGTTACTGTCACCTCCTGGAGACCATGTTACATTGGCCCTCACATTAAACCTATGATTTTATGAGGGGCAGTCAAATGAAAACGGTCAGAAGCCCAAACATATTGTGACGTGGACAGCGCAACGCTCGTTAAACATCCCCCCCCTCTTTCCAGCAGTTTTGTAACAACACTTCCCATTGTGACATAACAGGGGACACCGCGGTTACTATGTGGCAACAGGGAAGAGTATAAGAAGCCAGCTCAGTGGTGTGTGAGTCAGTGTGTGATTGGGAATGACAGAGTGTGGATCATGAAGCCAGACAGAGGAGGTGCAGTCCAGCAGCCATGAGTTGTGTTGTATCGAGTGCATGGCAGGGACTCCAGCAGTGGAAGTAATTGTGATACTGCCGATGGCAGTAATTTTAATTGTGAATTGTGTAAGTGTAAGAGTGAATGTGGAATAAATTTGCTATATCCAATACGGTGTGAAGTTATTTGTCGCATTACATACCCAACACGTGACAATATTAAAGAACATTTCTTACCTCAAAAATAATCTCCAAAACTGTTAATACATTTATCCCACTGGGAGATAAGATGGTCAATCCCATCCTTGAAAAAACTTGTGGGCTGTCTACGGAACCACATCTTTACCCAGCCACACACGTCTTCATCTGATGCAAACCGATGTCCACAAATGTCTCTCTTCAGGTCTCCAAAAATGTGAAAATCACATGGGGAGAGATCTGGGCTGTAGGGGGGATGTTGAAGCACTTCCCAACCAAATCTCTGTAGCGTATTCCTCACAGAGTTGGCAGTGTGGGGGTGCGCATTATCATGAAGGATAATGCTGCTCGATAGCATTCAAGGGTGTTTTGACTTTATGGCACGTCTCAGTTTCTGCAAAATGTCTTCATAGCACTGTGCACTGATTATGGCCCCATGCTCGAGAAATTCGACAAGCAAAGGGCCCTTGCAGTCAAAGAAGAATGTCGTCATCACTTTACCGGAACTTGTATGTACGGCTTTGGATTTCTTTGGTGGGGGAGAATTCACGTGTTTCCACTGTTAGCTGTGCCGTTTGCTCTCGGGTTCAAAATGGTGGGACCAAGTTCCGTCCCCAGTGGCAGTACGAGACAGAAAAGCATACACTTCCTCATGGTATCATTGCAAGTGATCCAGTGATGCAGCCATTCTCTGAGTGTTCTGTTCCTCCATAAGTTGATGTGGAACCCACTGCGTGCAGATTTTGCAGTACAGCAGGGGTTTTGTCACAATGGTGTGTACGGAACCGTGGCTTATTCCCATCAAAAAACTAATTTCTTCCACAGTGATCCAATGCAGCAATAACATCAGGAGTGATGACACGATGAACATGTCTTGGGCAAGCATCATCTTGCAGTGACACATGTCCCTCTCAGAATCTCTTATGCCACGCCAGCACATGCGAACGTGACATGCTGTGTTCACCGTAAACAACAATTTCTCGTTGTCCTACTCCTTCAGCAGTCAAGAAGTGCACTACACTTCGCTGTCCTTGTTTACCCACTTCCATTACTGATGTTGGGTGACCACATAGCGCTAACCTTACTTCCAGCACAATAAACAAACGACTAATGTGCAAGGGCACGTTGTCACTGTGCTTTCCCGAGTCCCCACCAGATGTTGTTACCGTAAGCAGTGTTACTAACTTGCACCGTATGAGTTATGCATCGTGACCTGTTTTCATTTAACTGGCCCTTATACTTGAAGCAGGATAGAGCACTACCACACTTTAACTGTACCGCGCATCAGCAGTTAGATCAGTTGTGGGATGTCATTATATGAAGAGACAACCACTTGTTGAATTGTTCTGTAAATATTTATTATAGTTACACAGTACACAGACGCACTTTGATTTGAAGAATTGAAGGTTTCCACCCCCACACCACATCTCTCTATAGTCACAGTCAAAGTCAAAGTAATGTGACTGATGATCAGTCAGTAAGTCTTGGTATCAAGCACCCTCCTGGGGCTCATGACCAGATATTTGTTACTCCTCAACAGTTACAGTCTTGTTTCTGTGGGGCACCCTCTCTGGCGAAAGGATGGGTCTGTCTTTTGTATATGCTGCTGGCCCTTGCCAGTGCAGTGGTTCTCGGGTCCTAGTCCCTTGGGACTTTCAACCATATTTTACTATCTCAGATTTGAGACTTCCATTTTCATCGCCTCCTACGACTCACAGGGTCACAGTGGAGGTATTCGACCCCGCCTCCACAAAGGAGACATCTCTCTATATCGCCGTATCTTCCTCATATACAACATTTCGTCGAACCACATAGAAAACATGTCAGTTCCCTTATTGTTATAGGCTTTGCCTAGCAACAGTTGTTCACTCTCTGGATATCTACCTGTGGGTTCACTGGAAATCCATGGTGCACCATAACCAGCCACAAAATATTGCTTTGCTCCATGGTAACATATGCTGTATGCAGAGCCTTTACCCCACTGGCGTTGTGGTATTTGCTTTACAGCTTACTGTGCTGTATTTACATGTGTGAGCAACAAGACGGACAGTGGTCTGGACACTTGCTGTAAATGTACAAACTTTTGTACTGTTCTGTATGCATGTGTGGTTTTGTGGACTTGCAGCGTTTTTTCACAGATTACCATGGTGCTGTAGTATTTCTGTGTGAGCACATTAAAACGCAGCAATTTTATTCATTCTTCTATTTCATGTTTTACCCCTCTTTCCTCCACTATCGCTTCCCCTAACCCTGGATACATGTCTCCTTTCAGCTGTCCTGTCACTTTGGCAACATTATTGGTATTATATGAAGAGAGTAGCACTGTAGTGACTTCTCGTAGATAAAAAATTGAAGCAATTTAGTTTGAAATGCATAATTTGCAGGAAATTTTTCTTTTTACATTTTCCATATTTTTCAAAATAACTGAGGTCTCTTAGGCCATGGATTTATGGGGCACTACATAAAACTGTAATGTGCAATCTATATATAAACTGACACTGTATGATAGGGTTCTTGGTGCACTCATTTCTGCACACCTCCTGATGATGGATCCAGAGCAACCCTTTGGAAACTTACGTCCATCCTGGTATGATGGTGAGCTTCTGCAGTTAGCACATGATCTGGCTTCTAGATTGTTGCCTGCTTTTGAAGGGAGTTCAACAGGCATTCCTTACCCAAGGGTGAGTTATCTTCTTTTCTCAAATATTTGAACGTTATACTTTGTATTTGCAGCAAATGGTAGATGTTGCATGAATCTGCTTTGCAGTTGGCAACATTTCTGGCAAGTTATACATCCTGTCACATGATAGTGACTATTCACTGGGTTTTGATTAGTAATTGGATTTATTGGACACAAAATAATCTTATATATAGATAATTACATAGTTTACAAATATTTATTCTTGTTTCACAATCTGCTAAATAAATCGTGTTTGCTGAAATTACAGATTTTCCCTCTGTGCGTCTTGTCAGTTCTTGTGCTGGTTCTGGTATGTTCTTTTATGTTAGATTCTTGTGGACCGATTACAAAATGTGGTTGTGTAGTTGGTTGAGGCACTATGCTACAAGCTGGGAGGTTGCGGGTTCGAGTCCTGATGATGTGGATTTTTTTTGTCAGTTGACTTAATCTTTTAAGCCACACCATGGCCTTGGGGTTGACTCAGCCTCTGACAGAAATGAATACCAGGAATCTTCCTGGGGGTTAAAGGGTCTAGAAAATTTGGGAGTGTCCATGCCCTGTTACAAGGATAGCTGTATATTTTTATGCCATTTTTATACTGAATGTTTAATGAAACCTGTGTTAAGTTTCCTGTACTGTTGTTGAAACGTGAAGTAGTTTATTCATAATTGTGAACATTGCTTCTTCTGCAGGTGAATTTACGTCAAGGCTTACCACAGCCACCTACAGCTGAAACTTGTACAGCAGGGGCTGGATCTCTTGTACTGGAATTTGGCCTTCTCAGCCGTCTGCTTGATGATCCAGTCTATGAAGGATATGCACGCAGAGCTAACAAGGTGTTGTGGAACCTTCGAGCAAAATCAACTGGTCTTCTAGGTGAGTGTTCCATACTGCTCACATTTTAAAAAGCTGTTGCTTATACCTGTTATTCTAATATTATGTGGCAGTTACCAATGTCATACTTACAGCTGTGGAGGTCATGTGATATTGCAATGAGAATTAGTTCCCTATCCTGAGCCAGATTAATCCTGTTTCCCTCAGATTCATTTTAATATTATCCTCCACCTACATATAGGTCTTCCAATTGGTATCTTTGCTTCTGGCTTTCCCGTCAGAACTCTGTATTCATTCCTATACACCCCCATGCATGCTACATGCCCTGCTTATCTTATACTCCTGGACTTGAATAGTCTAATTATGTTTGGTAAGCAGTAGAAGTTATGAATCTCCTCATCATTCAGTTTTCTCCAACTTCATATTATTTCATCCCCCTTCAATCCAAATATTCTCGTCAGCACCCTGTTCTCAAATACCCTCAGTCTGTGCTCTTCTGTAGGTGAGAGAGACCAGGTTTCACACCCATACAAAACTACAGGAAAAATTGTAGTTCTGTATATTTTAATTTAGATGTTATTTGACAGCAGATGGATGACAGAAGGCTTGAACTGAATGATATCAAGTGTTGCCTGAATTCACTCTGCTGTTAATTCCCTCATGAATCAAATTTTGATTTGTTAATGTCATTTTCAAATATTTGAACTTTGCCACATTTTTAGAAGATCTGTTAGCTCTCTTTATGTTATGATTCTTGCCCACCATTCTGTTGATGAGATATTATCATCACGTACTTTTTTTTTTAATTTGCTTAGTGGGGGGTGGAGTCCAACTGGGTCCACTCAGCACGGCGGCCACTGATTGGCCTATTGTAGCCTGCCCCAGGTGATTATGATGATGGAGAATTTGGTGGAATGACGATTGGCAGGGGAAACCGAATTACTCAGAGAAAACCCTCCCAAGCGCCACTTTGTTCACCACAAATCCCACTTGACGAGACCCGGGTTCGAACCCGTGCTGCCACGGTGGGAAGCCAGCGACTAACTGCTTGAGCTATGGTGCGGCCTATATGATATGTACTTAGTTTTCTCTGTTTACATCTAGACCTTTTTTTTTTTCATTGCTAGTGGGGTGGGACCAAGTCCCTTGTAATGCAGCCACTTCTGGCCTATTGTACCAGCCCCAGATGATAGGTGAGGGTGATTGTGGAGCAATTGGTGGAATAAAGATTGGCAAAGGAAACTGAAGTACTCAGAGAAAACCTGCCCCAGTGCCACTTTGTCCACCACAAATCCCACTTGACCAGACCTCTGATCGAACCTGGGCCGTCGCGGTGGGAAGTCAGCGACTAAGCACTTGAGCTATGGTGCGGCCTAACTCCAGACCTTACTAGCATCAGTTAGAGCGTCTTTGTTTTTCTTAAAGTAAAAAAGTCAAGGTAAAGTTGCCCCTGGGCTTAACTAATTAAGCACTACGCCATGAAGCTGTAGGGGGGAATAGGCATATAGATCCACATGTACTTGACCTTGGTGCTAGTTGGATGTAAGTGGTCAGTTTCATTCCCCGGCCCCTATACTCCTGGGGAAAGAGCTGCTGGCGCCAATTGGGCCGGAGACTGGGTGAGACCCAGAGCTCGTCTGGACAATAAGAGAAAGTTCTTGACACTACTGGAATTCAAATTCTGACCCCTCTGTCATCTAGCCTGTACCCAGTCAGTATACCGACTGTGCTATTCCAGCTTCATCTTTCTTTATGGTATTTATGTTATCTCCCAGTACATTTACATCATCAGCATAGACCAGCAGCTGATGTATTCCATTCAATTTAAGTCCCACATGGTTTTATTGGACCTTCTTCATGGCATGTTTGAAACGTGACATGCATTATGCGTTGAAATAGATAGGGGCCCCTTCAAACACCTATTGTAACTATGTGGCACCTATGGATTGATCGTTTGATAGCTTCCACTGTTTAATGGTGATGTGTATCTTGAAAACGACCGTCTCTGTGGTCTGGTGGTCAAAGTTCCTGGCTACAGATCCAGAGGTCCGGGTTCGATTCTGGCGCTACCAGATTTTCTGAGAAGTAGTGTGTCTGGAACGGGGTCCACTCAGCCTTGTGAGGATAATTTAGGTGTTTTAAGGAAGTAGCGGCTCTGGTCTAGAAAACCGAGATTAACGGCTGTGGGGATTCATTGTACTGACCACACGACACCCTCTATCCGCTAAAGTTGGCACTAACTTCACAGACAAGCGGCGGCCTCTCATTCAGTATAGTTCGTTTGTGGACTAAAACCACGGAGTTTGTTTTTTGTTTGTGTATCTTGAAAGTTAAACATCACAGAACATATATTGTACAATTTTGTTTAGAGCAGAATCTCATTATGGAGAGCTTGTGTGAATGTTGTTTCTTCCTCTGTGTGAGAGGGGGTTAGGTCGAAAGTCCAAAACCATGTTTTTTGCCCATCCTTGTGTACAGTACATATGTGTATGATATAAATTGAAAAACCATATACTTATTTTGTCATCTGTTTTTGTCATGAAGGTAATGTGATTGATGTGGAGTCAGGGCGCTGGATAGGGAAGCTTAGTGGTCTTGGTGCAGGTCTTGATTCCTACTATGAGTACCTCTTGAAGTCATATATCATGTTTGGTGAATCTGAGGACTATGAAATGTTTGCAGAAGCTTATCGTGTCATCAAGCAGTACATGCGCAGAGGGTGAGTCACTGACTTAACATATTTCTTCCTTCTGAGTTCAGACTTTTTTTTTTTTATTGCTAGTAGGGTGGGACTAAGTCCCTTGTACTGCGGCCACTTCTGGCCTATTGTACCAGCCCCAGATGATAGGTGAGGGTGATTTTGAAGGAATTGGTGGAATGAAGATTGGCAGGGGAAATCGAAGTACTTGGAGAAAACGTGCTCAGTGCCACTTTGTTGACCACAAATCCCACTTGACCAGACCCAGCATCGAACCCGGGCCTTCGCGGTGGAAAGCCAGTGACTAACTAACCACTTCAGCTATGGCGCGGAGTTTAGACCTTAGTTGTGTTCAGTTTAATTAAGGCTTAAGCACATTTTCTTTATATATTTTATTACCGTAAATCAGAAAAGATATTAATTAGGAAGAGATTTTTTTGGCAGCTTGTACATAAAAGGCACGCAGTTTAGCATGTTCCTGCAAGTTGGCCACTTAACGAATTATACCACCACCGCAACCACCGCTGCTGCCGCCACTGCCACCAGCACCACCACTGCCACCCTGAAATGTATCTCTCTCTGTTACTTTCTTGTTTGCTACTCTCATGGCGTAATACAGCCTGAATTTTTGCATAAAGTTAGGAAAAGCTTAAAACAAATTAAAAGTTTCTTAACACGTGAATTTAGCACCTTAATTAATGATGACCAATGTTTTGTAATGCTTGAAAAAAGGGGGAGAACTCATGTGCCATTTGGACAAATACGATAACCAGTTCCTTTTGACATTAGACCCCTATGCGAAATGAGAGGGCAGTTATCAGAAAATTCTCTAAGTTTGAAACTGAAAAGTAAATATTGAAATGGAGATAAAGAATGTTTTTGTTGAGCTTGTCTCAAAAATTTCAGATTGCCTAATATATACCTTTTGACTGTCTAGACATATATGAATTGTACATGCCTGCATTGTCATTTTCAGATCAGCTTTTGTTTTCACTAAGGTTTGAATTGTATTATATGCTATTCAGTTATTGTTAATGCAGTTACAAGTGAAGGTTACCTGTCTTTCTCCCAGACTATTATAGTGGTTATTACCACCATCACAATCATTACTGTATTGTTTCCTATGTTTTGTTTTAATTTTCTTTGCAAATTTAGGGTATATTTTTTGAAAGCCATTGTTTTCAGTGATATTTATTACAGAATTGTATTCTCTCCTTTAAAGTTGCTAGTATGAGAATTTATTGGGAAGTTTAATCATATATTATATAAGCTTTGCACTATTAATTTTCACTGCTTTCTTCCATATTCCTTTTCAGTCCTACATGTTACGAATGACGTGCTCAGATAGTCAGTTGTAAACCATTTCATCCATGTAGTATACTGCTCCAAAATGAAAGGCTGCTTGCTTGTTCATGACCTAATGCATAACTTGTGTTTATGTGGCATGTTATAATGCTTAACAGTTCATTGCTGTGATCACTTGAAATTGCATAATTTCAGCACTTTCATCTCACTGTTACATTATTTTTTATATAAATAGAAGGATGAGTAAGAAATTGATGCCCTTCTACAGTAATTGTATGTATTCTGGTTATATTTGTATATATTATGAGATAATGACAGAAGAAGACAGCCATTGTTTGGTAACAGCTTAATAAATACATATCAGCTGCAACAGATACACACACAACATTAAAGAACTAATGGTAGCAGTGTTTTCTTTGTGGTCTGTGCTGAGGCTATATAGTGAGGACAGCACCGAGCTAGTAATTAGTTGAGAGCTAGTTGTGGGCTAGCTATCATCCAGTGAGAACTTGAGTACAGAAGCAGAGGAGTATCCATTGTCAGGAGTTCTTACCAGGCAGTGACTTGTGACAACACTGAAGACTTCATGTATGCTGCAGTACAGTTTGTAGAGTTTGTAGGTTCATGAAACTTATATACTTAAGTACATTTACAAGGTATAAGTGTTCACTAAACCCAGTTATGAATCCAAACCCCATGTCTAGTCACTTAACACGTGACAATATAGATATGTATAATTCCCTCGCAGGCGAGCTCACTGTAATCAAGGCTCTGGTGATCATCCTCTGTATGTGAATGTTGATATGATGAGTGGTGCTGTACATACGTGGTGGATAGACTCATTGCAGGCTGCTTTTGCTGGAATTCAGGTAAGTAATCAAGATGACAGGATACTGAGATATTCGTACCTAAACAGTCTCCTGTAATGTCTTAATGTGATTCAGGCTCTTCTCTTAACTCTCCCTACTAGACCTGTGAAGTTGTTACTCCGTTGTATGAACAGCTGAAAGTACGATTTTTTCTTTAGGGCAGTATGTTGCAGCTAATGTGCCACCACAAAATTTAATATAGATGTAAGATTTGAGGCTTTCACGGCGGTGACTATGAA